CTTTCTTATTGATTAAGTTAAAACATTTAATTGCGCATTCATGTAATCTGTTTGGTGCAGTATGTTGGAAAGCTTCAATTTTCTTCTGGTCTGCGAACAACACAACCTTGGGTGATAATGTTGAACAGGTAGAAAAGCGTAGTCGTATCATAGGAACTGGATCATTGGCAGGCTGAAACTTTTTTTATCATATATGATCTGAGGGCAACTATGATCGGGTTATCGAAAGTTGTCAAAGATTGGTGGGCAGCCTTAATTTATAATGTTTCCACTTCTGTTTTTGCAGGTTGCTGCTATGAATTTGTTCAAAATATTTTATAACCAACTAGCTAGTTTTTAAACATATTTTTTCTTTCCATGCAGGTCATGTATTGCGAATGACTGAGTGTCAGCTTGCAGTAGTCAGGAATCCCGTTGTGATCCATTAAAGGTTTTGATTTACTTTTACATCTGCGACCAAATTACATGGCACTTGTATTGGATCTTTAGAACAGAGGGTAGCACAACGACTTGATATTTTGACTTCGTCTTTAAAAAGGCGAAGTTGTACCGCAGCCCTGTGTGCACCCCCTTGTGAACATGGTGCTCTCGGTTCTGTCTGTTCAGGAGAAAATCGGTAGCTGCAAGGACTTTTAACGATTGACCTCTTGATGGCTTCGGAAAGATAACAAACATCTTTCGACGACAAGAAAACTGCTCAACACCGGTCGAAGTGATGCAGAATTAAGTATCATTTTATTTTACCTCTGAAGATAAGATAGCACCGTATAAGTCTGATCGAGCTCTATGTGCATTTAAACTATTCAAAGTTTAAAGTTTTTCGAACACGGAGTATTTCGTGCGTTAGTTTTCATATTGAAAACAGCATAAATCAGAGTTTATGACAGATGATTATTTAATCGGATGATTGACCTGTACCGATGCTTCGGCTAGCGTCTCACATGCCTTCCAGTTCTGAGGGTACAAACCGCTGCGAACCACAAGAAGGACTCCCGAAGCCAATCCACCTGTCTGTGTTGAAGAATGTACGTGGTACATGGCCCGAAAATTTGATTCTGGTCAATCATTCGATTGACAAAAGTGTTTGCCTCGCGATATATTATGCTGCTAGAATATGTTCATGAACGTCAAATTAGACATGTAAATAGTGCAAGCGAACAGATTTCCATTTATTTGCATGTTTCTTCTTAACACTTCATGATTTTTTGTAGCCTGTTAAGATGCTTGCTGAAAAAATTCAGAACACAAACCGTTTTCGGGAGAACAAGATCTATATACATACGGATGCTGCTCAGGCTATCGGCAAAATCGTTGTCGACGTGAAGCAGTTGAAGGTCGATTACTTGACCATTGTAGGACACAAGGTTTGTTATCATACAGTGTAATTGTTTATAACTTATGTTAGCTTTTGTGTAATGTACTTGAACCGGAAGGTTTGTTTGCAAATGCGCACAAAAAATTGACAGACTTAGGTTAGGCCTACAGAATCTTGCCGAAGTGGCAGTACTTTAGCTGGAGTGGCCCAAATCGGATTCCCCGTATCTAACGTCTTTTGTCTGTACGTAAAATGTTTTTCTTTCAGGAGTTTAAACAACGACAGTTTTATTCCAGGCCTTGATAAGTAATTCTTTAATCAGACCGAGGTTGCTCATTCAGTGCACCTCCATACTCAGAACCTAGAGGTCCCGGGTTCCAACCGCGGAGAGTCAGCTCGCATTTATTCTGAGGTTGATAGATGAGTACCACTCTGTGGGAAGCAAGCACAAGACTACGCACTATTCTTACCACATGCCTGTTGTCGGCTCTGCTTTTAAAATATACTTCCGGTTGATGGCTTTGAAATGTGATTAGTCCCCACCATTAACTTCATGAAAAGGACTGCGTAAGAAAGACCTTCATCATGAAAATGGCCGGCATTCCATCGTTTGCAAACTTTCCTTTCTTTCTTCCTTTAGATGGATAGGAGACAGCGCAGTAACATCATCCAGACCGTCCATTAATATGCTGCTTATTGTAGCTAAGTTTTGGCATTGCATGCAATAGTAAATACATATTTTGCTTCATTTGCTTAAGTTGTTATCCTTGGAGGTTTTGATACCTTTTCTAGTTTCTGCTCTAATGTGGCTCTAATGATTGCATAAGGATGTTAGTTTGTGAATTTGATTAGATTTTTTGTCTAGCACCTTTCTTACAAATTGAATGGTAAGTCAATACGATCTCTACATTTTCTAGCGATCCGTTGACATGTTATGCCTGCAACGCGCAAGGAGAGGCAGGAGTCACAAAGGTTTATCAAAGAGGCCAGTGCAGCTTAACTATTGCTTGTAGCTGCATTATTCTTCTAATATAATACTTTGTTTCCCGCATCCTCGTTGAAATGAAATAAACTTTGGCCGTCGTGTTCGACTACTGGCAAATTATCGCTCTCAGTTGCCCGATCGTTCGGACTTTCAAGGAAGGACTTTCGGCGTATGATGCGAAAAAGGGATTTACTTAAGTGATGAAGCGCTTATTTAGACTGGAGCTAACTTAGTCGATTCATAATCGTCGGATTTAGCCTAAGGCCATACGACTTTATCCATCTGACTACTCGATATCCGTCGTCATCACAGTCAATCATATTTGTTACGTTTCTCATTGATAAAATCAGTACTGTGTCGTTCGCATAGGCATCTCGATGTAGGCACCGATATGCTTAAAATTCGTTGAGTGCAGAAGGGCGGTGTTTGGGAATGAGAGTTTTGATTCATCCATTTTTTTAGTGGTAATTTATTTCTGACTTGTAATATAATGCCAATTTCTAGTTTTATGGCCCACGAATTGGAGCGCTTTACGTTCGTTCGTTAGGTTCGCTTGCTGGTGCTCCCCTGTTGCCAATATTTCATGGTGGCAACCAGGAAAATGGCTTTCGCGCAGGGTCTGTTTCGATTCAGCGTTGCTTGGACACTTTACGTACGAGTACTGTTTAGGACAGAAAATACAGCAATGATTATCGGTCTTGGCGAGGCAAGTTAAACGCAACTTTTCTTCACTGTACTAAAGTATTCGGTTCAATATCGATCAATTTATCATACCCTGTTAAAATATAGATTTAAATATAGTTCGTCATATTAAATTTTTATTTGTCCGTATTTTTATTTGTTTGCTCTCTGTTATAACAACGACGTGGATTATATATTACTTTCTAGGATGATAAACTATTTGGTGGATTAATAGCTCTATGAGGAACTCGCATGAGACAATACGACAGTACCCCTTACCACTTCTGTGACTACAGCAGAACGCCATGCCTGTAAATCAGTGACTGTCTACCCGTTTGTTGGCTTTTGCGCCGATACAACTTGGGCTTAATTTTCTACTCAGCGTAATTAGTGGTTTACACAAGTTTGATCGTTACTGGAATTCGAATGCATCATTGTTCGAAGCCAAATTATTTTTTGCTACTGTGTTATTACCCCCTATTTTATCTATACTCTTATGTTAATGAGTCGTTTATTTGCTGAAATCCAAATGGTTTTAGGCGTGACATAAAATACTCCTTTACTTTATTCTGACATTTCGGATTCCAGCACGGATGCCATAATCTGGAAAATTTTCACAAAATAAGATTACTGTATACAGATTAGTAGTAAGGTACAGAAAATTTTGAAACAGCCGTACAACAAAACTAAGTAGAATCTTGCATAGTTAATGAACAGAGTTCTGAAACTGGAATAGCCAAGGTAGTGGTGAAAGTTAATGAGGAGGTGTTATGTATTGACTATGTTATAGAGTTCCAAGTAGAACAGATATCAGTAGAGTTTTTATAGTTTCTGCACATTATTTCGTTTTTAATTGAAATAAATAGAAATTCTTTAATGAGTAGACGGAGCCAGTTCTCTTCACAGTCAATGACGCTGAAGTTTTTTTTACTTAAAGTATGCTGCCACTTCAACGAATAGGCTGCAATCCCCAAATGTTCTGGATGGCTCCTCCTAGAAGCCTGTTGCGAAGATATATTTGTATATTCTCATGTTAAAGGTCGTTTATGTTTTACCAATGTAGATCATAGTTTTCACAATTACCACGTTGATAAACAACGTTAAATTTGTCATGATTAAATTTTAGTATAAGTGCATGTATAAAATTTATCGTAAAGTGTATAGTAAAGGGTTCTGCGTTTTGTAAATAATCCGGAAGCTTTTTGCCTCTGGCGATAATGTTTAGGGGCGAAAGAAATGCCAGATTAAACGGAATAGAGATGAGAGATGTTGGCTCTTCCGGCTTTTTCTGGGGAACGACACTTAAGATAATGAAGATATGAATTTAAATGAGCTTGGGTATCGATTTTTGCGAAACATCTTATTCTCGAAGCTACGTTCCTTATGAAGGATGTCAGGTTCTGAGTAATATCGTTCGGGACTAGGTCATATTTTTTAAAACAATATTACGGATAACAAAACGGTGTGTGTTGGAAGTATAGTATAACTGCTTGTGTGAGTTTTGTGGCTTTCTCAAAACGGTCAAAGTCAGTGTGTCAGGCGAATTGTTAAAATGTCTAAAATATCGATAAACGGTAGTTTTCTCTCTTTCTGTTTTAAGAATTAGCACAATGCACTTTCTGGGGTCTTAGCATTGAAAAATCTAACAAATTCGTTCAGAAATTTTGGTGCGTGAGGACGCAGTATGAAATTTCCTTATAAAATCGCCTATGAAAAGGACATACTCAGAAGCCTTGTGGTTTCAAGTGAGTCCATGAAAATTTCCTCTACAGAAACACTGATGGACGATCTCATTAATGCTCCATATTCTCTATGGTGAATCTTATCGTCGAAATTGTGGAAAACATTGCAGGTTTTTACTTCCAACAATTGTATTGAATCACAAATATTCAGGTAGATAAGGTAGGAGACCACCCTATTTCCATTCTTCTTTTGTATCTTCCAGTTTCTTGGTTAGAGTACCGAACAGCGCTGTAACGTCAACATTGTCGAACAGAGCAACAACATCAAGACTTGCCATACTCAATCGGTTTGAGGGCAGCAGCTTTCTGAATTACAATTAACGATTGGGCAGCATGTTTCAAAGGGAATTTTAGAATCTGATCAAGTTTTTTTATTGATTTCATACGTGATCGATCCGTAAGTTGAGGTAATTATGCGTAATGGACTGTCGTCTTTGTGCAGCTTCATAAGTCTGTGCATAGCTGAAGACTCAATAGAAGGTATTAAACGCCTCGCTGTTGTTTTGTCCGTTTTCTTTTCTGACTTACCTCTCCATAAATTTTAGATACTATTTCGGAGTGTGGTGTATTGTTGGGATTCTTCCGTATTATCGACTAGGTATTTGAGTTCTGAAGCGATCATCTTATCGCGATAATCATTTTTATTCGTTATGATGGATTTTGCTCCTTTGACAGCTGACAGCAGAATGAAGTCGTTTTTCTGGTTTGTTTTTCAGAT